TCACTCACTCCCATCAATACGTATGGCTGAAAAAGAGAAAATGGTTTGTAAACAGCATTCCAAAACTCCCTTGGCTTATGTTTTCCACTGTTTTTTTGGCAGGGATCATGGAAAGAAATTTGCTTTGCTCTCCAGTTTGGACTTGAGGGGGAGAGGATGGGACATGACTTACCTCCTTGAGTTTTCTCTAGTTTGGGAAGGAAGAACATCTAGGTATCTTGTATTCAAGTAGGGGTAGAATCTTCTTTGAACTTTTTAAGACCTTGATAGAAATAGGGGCAAAGTGTTCATTTGGAGATCACCTGTCCACCACACACTTAATTTTCATTCTATCCTGTGGCAGGTTCATATTATCTTCCATTGTTTTTTTTTGGGGGGGGGTTGAAGAGAGAGGCTAGAAACAAAAGCTTCTCTATTGAAATATAATATAATTGGTTACATGCCAAGTTGACTCTTAGCCACCAGATAGATAGATTTTTCTCCGTTATGTTCTCTCTCTAACTTGCTTCTTCAGCTCTTCTAAGATGCATTCATCATTACTATAACTGAGTCTGTCCACCCTGATGCTGGTTGATTTCTTCTTTTACTTTCCATCTTTCAGTGCATTGTAGACTTCTTCAAAGAATTAGGCCTTGAACTAATGAGATGGATTGACCTAAAAGAATTATCCCTAAAAAATTAGTTGCTGGACAAATGTTCATTTTTCTATATAATTAAGATCTTTTAAGAGAAGAGGGCATCTTTAACTGAGGAATTCCATTCCAGGGTTTCTCAGGCATCTTTCCTAATATATTTGGATCCAGATGTGCAGAAAACTTCATAACACAGTCTGTCTTCACAGCCCCAAGATAAGCCATCCAGTTTCTGGTGGTTTTTTTTTTTTTTTTTTTGCCAAGAAGGTGGACGAACAACTTGGATTGTTCATCTGCAAGAAGGTACTGACAATGAAAAACCAATCCAATTTAGTTCTTAGGAGCCTTGATTTACCTGAAGTTTGCCCTTATGAATTAAACTTCTCTTGCCTGCTTATTAGGCATTGCATTCAGCCCCAGCCCTTCCTTAAATGATCAGGCCATGTGATTTAGAACTGTGGTACTTGAAAATGTCAAGAAGGACCAATAGGAACATTGAAAGGGTAGGAGTAGCAATCTTGGTCAACTCAGCACCTTTTGAAACAGATTTATAACATCTGATAAGCTGCTTTAGGGCATCAGTAAGTGACTTCTGATCTGAAATTATTCTACTTAGATCTTAAAAGCTGTATATCTGTCATTTTCTTTCACTCTTGTGGATTAAAAAAACACTTGTTTTTAACAAAGCAGTTGTACAGTCACGCCTCTGAAGGAAGGGTCCCTTGTAAGTAGAGGCTTATGGACTTTCCCCTCTTATCTGTTTAACTGCTTTATAATGTTTACCTCTGATCATCAGGAACAAAGTTGTTTTCTGGCAGATTTATGGCAGCGTTTAAAGTGTGGATTAGAAACAAGGGGATCTATCTGACAAATGCAATCTGAACTATGAAAGGTCACCGCAGGACTTTGGGCCAATTACTCTCTTTCTTCCCACCTACCTCACAGGGTTGTTGTTGGGATAAAAGGCTTCCTTCGACTACTTGAAAAAAAGGAAGCTTTAAGAGGTGCGGATTTCGAATCCCAGAATTCCTCAGCCAGCATACTGGCTGAGGAATTCTGGGAGTTGAAATCCATGCAATTTAAAAAGTTGTCAGGATTGAAAAATACTGGCCTAGATCTTCTATTGTCGGAGCTATCAGAAATAATCAAGCAAATCAGTACTTTTCATTCAAGGCAGACAAGTTATTAGTTAATGTGTTATCTCAGTAAATTTTGCAACACAATGTGGGACAATGTAATTCAGGCCACCCCTTCCTCCCTGAAAAAAAATGCATTGCTATAAAGTGCTCTTTTATGTCTATCTCCTGGGTTATCTTATCGTGGAAAAAGGGCCAGTGGCACCTTGGCTGATTGATTTTGCTCTTCCTATCTTTTTGATAAACACATTTCTTTTTTTCCATTTTCTAAGGGCTAGTTTGGTGTAGTATCAGGCTGAAAACTAGGATATCATGAGTTCTAGTCGCGCCTTTGGCATGAGGCCCACTGGGTGACTTGGACCAATCAGTCTCTCTCTGTGTCCTAGGAAAGAAGCAATAGCAACCCCTTCCGCCAAAAAATGCCTTGCCCAAAAAACTGCAGAAAGAGGAGGTGAGGGAGAGAGGAAGGAAGGAAAAAAGGGAAGAGGAAGGAAGAAAAAGAAGAAATAAGAAAAAGAAAGAGAAAGGAAGGAAGGAAGGAAGGAAGGAAGGAAGAAAGAAAGAAAGAAAGAAAGAAAGAAAGAAAGAAAGAAAGAAAGAAAGAAAGAAAGAAAGAAAGAAAGAAAGAAAGAACAGTCTGGTGTGAGCAAATTTTAGATTTTGTTGCACATTCTGCCCCATGGAATTGCCCCATCTTGGAAAGTTTTTTTTAGAATCCTTCTTTTGCAGTTCCCCTATGTTTACATAGCTCATCTGATCACTTAATTGGGAATCTGCAGGAGTTTCTTTAATCTTTCTGCAAAGCAGAAGTGTGCTATGTGGTGTTGAGAAACAAAGTTATCTGAAAACAATTCCTTTGATTTCCAAAGCATTTTCCCCCGGCATCAAAGCCTTAAAGAATGCAACAGTTGTGTTTAGTTCCTATATTTTCCTTGCTTAAAAGAAGTGATTGCTACATTTCACCCATGAAAAGATGAAGGAGATTTTCTCCTCCAGAATAATATAAACTCTCTTTATAGTTATGATTATCTTCTACCAGATTAAGTTGGTTACAATGTATCTTCCTAAAACTTTTTTCCTCTCCAATATTTTAAACCATGCATTTTATTTATAAGGTTAAAAGAAGAAATATAATAAGAGTCTTATCCTCTTTGAATATTTTTGGTCTAACTGAATTAAGGTGAGGAGGATTAGAAATTATATATATATATATATGTATATATATATATATATAATTTATTATTTATACAATAATAAGAGAAAGCCTGATAAAGATAATTACCATATGTGGAAGCTGAAGTTTGGAAATGGTTGTGATTAATTATTTCTTCTTGCCGTACATATTCACTTTTGATACCAAGATGAAGCTTAGCTAAGGTTGTTGTTATAATTATCATTTCTTGACTTTATTTTTCATTCCAGAAGACCTCTTCTATTTATAAATGCCCAAATTCTACATAATGTGGAGAGATAGCTGTCTGCATAATAAAGCTAATCCTGTTCTGCTACACATTGCATGAGGCAAAAAAAAAAAAAATTAAAGTAGTTTGATATTGTCAACATTTGCACTAACCAATTTTGTTAATCTTCAAAACTATTGACACATTTTTGAAACTGCAATTATTTCCTTGGCTGTTTCAGTATGGTTGCAAATGGTTAACAATTAGCATTAGGAATGCTAGCAGATTAGGAAATCTGATAGACCTTAGAAGGATCAATATTCTATTTCTTAGTCATTTGGATTGTGCAAATCTAAGGGAACTGAGCAGGATTGACTTAGATGAAATGAAGAGGGGCTAAAAATAGATAAAACCATAGAAAGGAATCACAGAGACGCAAATTAATCTCTTGTTTAGCTTTTTATGAGTTCATTGCCTCTCTTTTCATCCAAGAAACCTTAGGACATGGTAGGACATTATGGCCCGTTGTGGGTTACACAATCTTCATTTCCCAACTGATTGGCGAAAATTGTTGTATAAATGTGGGAATGGCAACCTTCTGGCCCTTGAGAAATGAATTGGCCGAAAATAAAAAACAGGAGGGGGGTTGTTTTTGTTTTTAAAAACTAAGTTGCAAATAATGAAAAGTGAATTCTCAGGCTGATTCTATTCCAGAGAAAACATCCCTTATCCAATTTACATTTTTGTTTCCACCACTGTGGTCTTCCTTTTAAAGGAGGTTTTGAGTGTGGATCCTGGTCACCATAACCTTGTCCTTTTCTTCTGATCTTGTCATCCAAGACTGATGTCTTGGATTTTATGCAAGCAACATCACCAGTCTTTTCATTTGGTTTTCCAGACATGTTATCCCCTAATTTTGTGACTTTTGATGCTCTGACATTCTAGGGTCTGTTGCTTCTGATGAAAGCCATTGCAACTTTGAAAAATTGGTTTTAAGTAGCTCTGCAGAGAGAAGTCTGTTGTAACTTCAAACTGGTCATTAAGTGAGGACTTTCTGTATGTGCAAACTCTGTGAATGGACAATTTAATCCTTTAGACCAGTGGTTCTCAACCTTTTTAATGCTGCGACCCCCAACCGGTCATAAGTCGAGGACTACTCAACTGGTGCAGCACCGTTTGCAGAATGGGACTTTTGGCGGGCTCAGCAGGGCAGAGACAGCCTGGACAATTCCTATTGGCTTTTGAAAGCCAATAGAATTAGACTCTATTCAAGAGAGTCTCTTCTATTGGCTTTCAAAAGCCAATAGAATAAAAGGGAGTAGCACAGCTAAGGAAAAGGAGGGGAAAAATGGCGGACTGCATTGTTTGGCGAACCCCGTGAAATGGTCGTTCGACCCCAAATGGGGTCCCGACCCACAGGTTGAGAACCACTGCTTTAGACATTTCAAGCGTGGTCATCCAGTAACCTGGATAGCAGTAGTGAGAATGCTGGAAGTTCTGGGTTTATCTAGAAGTTTTTGAGTTGTCTCCCTTTGGAGAGGTCTTTGGTGCTCTCTGAGCTTGATTCTTTTCTTGCCGACGTTTCATTACCCAAACTAAGTAACATCATCAGTTTGGGGAGTGGGGTTTGCTCTCATTTTATATTCTATTTATGTCTTTCTGGGAATGTAAGAAATACGGACAGTAACTTTCCTCAATCAGGTGTCTTTCAGATGTTCTGGACTACAAGTCTCACCATCCTTGGTCAGCATGATCAGTGACCAGCCTTCATTATTTTCCTTCCCCTCACTATGGTTATTATTAACATTTGATTCATTTGCATCTTCCTCCAGGATCTGGCCAGGGAGAGGCAGAGACAAGAGAATGCATTTATTATAATGCCAACTGGGAACTGGAAAAGACTAACCAGAGTGGAGTGGAGCGTTGCGAAGGTGAAAAAGACAAGCGCCTGCATTGCTATGCATCCTGGAGGAACAACTCTGGATTCATTGAACTAGTGAAAAAAGGATGTTGGCTTGATGACTTCAATTGTTATGACAGGTAAGGGCCAAGAGATAGGAATTCTATTTTCAAGAAATAGGGATTGTCCTAAATTCCTGTTTAATAGTTTACGGAATGGCCACAGACCGGCTGCCAGCGATAGAATTTTGGCCCCGTGATTCCTATTCTTAATGTAAACAACTGTCAGGCACAAATAATCAGGGGCATTCCTTGAGTTCAAAGCACAAACGTTTATTATTACTACCTATAAAAAAGAATTTAGTCCACTAATGTTCAAAGTTAAATTGGCTAAATTCAGTAGAATTCACAGGGGGCTGGACTTGAATCTCTTTGGCAACGCAATGAGTCTAAACTGATGGGACACTTAATTCTGCTTTCCAGCTCAGCCTGCTCTTCTATAACAACTAAATCATACCATCCCCCCTATTTTATTTATGTCATTTTATCAGTGGGTCAGAGTGAGTAGGGCATTGAAAGTCTTAGGGTAGCCAAAAGCCACCCATTTGATTTTCATTCCTCTTAATGATTAGGTAGAGATTTTACAAAACACACCTAATGGAAGTTAAAACAATTGTTTTTAACATTGTACACCAAGCAGACCTGCTATGGAGTCAGATAGCAATTGGGTGACTGGGCAGTGAACAAAATTAAAACTAAAATAAAAACAAATGGAGTAAGTTGATTGATTGATTATGTGCCATCAAATTTTTGAATTCTAACAATTACAAAAATTTATCCAGCCAAAATGTAAATATGCAAAAATAAATTATGCATTAACCAAGAAAAGCCAGCTGGATGACTTGGGGCCCATCATCAGGAGACCATGAGTTCTAGTCCTGCCTTAAGCATGAAAGTCAGCTGGGTGGCTATCAGCCAGTCCTTTCCTTTCAGCCCAACCTACCTCGCAGGGTTGTGGCGGTGGTGGTGAAAAGAGGAGAAGGAAGGAGCGTTAGATAGTTCACTGCCTTATGTACAAAAATAATTTATAAAATGTAAAATACATGAATAAAGCTTAAAAGATCTAAATAAATGGGTCCCTTCACATACTCAGGATCCAAGACCTGGGCACAGAGCCAAGACTTTACAAAAGGCCAGCAAAGTTGGCACCATTTCTGGTAAAGCCACCAATTCAATCATCACATACCGGTAAAAGGTTTTTTTAAAAATCAGGTTTTACAGTGTTTCCATTGGCAAAAGTCCTCAGTTGTAAAGTCCCACCCCAACATCAACTCCCAGAATTTTTAAGAGTGGGAAAGACCCCTCCTCTCTCCTCCAGTCCATCCCCAAATCCTTCATTTTATGATCCCTGACTGTCTGGAATCAAACTGTCTTAACAGCTGTGAAGCTGAGCTCCAAGACAAAAAGGAAGCTATATCAAACCACTATTTCCCCCATGGCTGTCTGAGTAGTCCCTGACTTACAACAGTTCGTTTAGTGACTGTTCGAAGTAACGACCACACTGAAAAAAGTGACATGATCATTTTTCACACAACCATTGCATCATCCTTATGTTCATGTGATCAAAATTCAGATGCTTGGCAACTGATTCATATTTATGACGGTTGCAGTGTCCCGGGGTCATTTGATCACCTTTTGTGACCATCTGACAAACAAAATCAATGGGGGAAGCCAGATTCGCTTAACAACCCCGTGTCACTAACTTTAACAACTCCGGAGATTCAGTTAACAATTGTGGCAAGAAAGGTTGTAAAATGGGGTGAAACTCACTCAACAAATGTCTCATTTAGCAATGGAAATTTTGGGCTCAATTGTGGTCGTAAATCGAGCATTATCTGTACTAGCCAGAGCTTCTGCAAATCATAGTTCAACAAGAGACTAGACAGCCATTTGTCCAAAATTGTATAGGGCCATGTGGTGAACCTATGGCACACGTTCCACAGGTGGCACGCAGAGTCCTCTCTGTGGGCACGCGCTTCATCACCCCAGTCCTACGCCTTTAGCTGCGTTTAATAAAACCTTTTTGCTTTAGGCCTCTGCCACCATGTGCAAAAAAAAAAAAGATTCAATCAATCAATTTCAACTTCTCGCGGGAAAAAAAAGATCTTGCAAAGTTGGAATTGATTGATTGAACTTTTTAGTCCCACCCAGTCTGCCGTTACCACCACAGCCACACCCACCCAATGGGTCACCCCCACCCAATGGGCCAACCCTACCCTCACCCAATGGGCCATGCCCATCCGGCACCCGACAATACATAAGTGGGTTTTGGGTTGCAGTTTGGGCACTCGGTCTCTAAAAGGTTCGCCATCACTGGTATAGGCTTTCCTGCCTGAGCAGAGGGTTGGACTAGATGACCTCCAAGGTCCCTTCCAACTTTATTATTATTATTAAGCACTGGGGAGCTGTGGTTCCCTTATTTCCCCCTCCCTGTGACCTCCTCCCCAGGTAATCCCTGCTGAATGGGGGTTATTTTCACAGAGGTACTTTGAGGAGTGAGAAGACTGACGGTCAAGCTGACTTCAGTTTAAAGCCTCTATATTCGGTCAATCATTGCCTGTTTTTTTTTTCACGTAATTGTAGAATCCAGGAAAGCAAAAAAAAAAAAAAAAATATCTCCCAGGTGTTTTTGCACAATGAAAGCCCAGCCCTTTCCAGCCTGTTCAAGAGAATGTCCTGTACGTGGCAGACCACGTGCTCTTGTTTGCTTGTTTGCTGTAGAATAGGAGAAATTAATCATTTGGAGCAGCAATCTGGAGAAAAACAATTTAGGGTCGAGGGCAGACTGACTGGGACTGTGGGCTTGCTTTTGAGCGACTATTGTCATTAATTGCCCATTTCAGGATGGCCACACAATCATTCGCATTCTATTTTTGTTTTGTTTTTGATGGCGTCAGCTAAACCACTCAGCTGTATTCCTTTTTAAATGCACTTAGTTGGTTTTCTCTTTGCTCCAGGAGTTTATTAAATGTTTACAACCACATCAGTAATAATGGCTGAAAGAAAAAGTTAGATTTATAACGAGAAGTAGGATGATAGTCATGGCTGAGAAGAAAAATAAAATAGTCTGAACCTATTAGGTATGGCATTTCAAGTGGGCTGATGGTGGGAACATTTCTTTGAACTGACCATGATTCTTGCAAGCACTCCAGTCATCGGGAATGGGTTATGGAATCCCTGTTTGCATTATAGGTAGTCCTTGACTTATGATTGGTCGGCTAGTGACCATTTGATGCTACAATGGACCTCCAAAAGCTACTTATGATCTGGTTTTGAAACTGTGACCAGTTCCTGAGCACCCAAAGTGTGCTCGTATGACCATAGAGGACCCCCAACCATAAGAAAGTTGACTCTGGGTCATAAGTACCTTCCAGGTAGGTCCATCAGAACGTAAGTGACCAGTCATAAGTCAAGGACTCTGTACTCTGTTCAGCTGAGCACACTCCTGATTCCCTGTTGTCCATGTGATGAGGCATGGAATTCCCCTATCATGGATGGAGGAAGCTCTGGTTGATATCACTAGGAGGACATGTGATCGATCTTGGTGGCATCTCAGAGAACGATGTGCTAAATACAGCCAAGGAAACAAAACTGAACTTCAAGAAATTTTATCCATTTAGGGTGGAATCGCTGGATACAGGGATAAAGGACCACCTTTTCTTGGGTAGCTTTGAAGACTAAGTGATTCTTCTTGGACGCTTGTTCTCCAAAATACTCTTTCCTGCATTTCCTAAGGGAGACTTCTACCATGGGTTCACACAACTATTTGTGCAAGTAGGTCACTTGGTGCAGCTTACAAACTATGGCCCAAATATTTCGGCATGATAAACTGGAACGTAAGAAGTTGAAGCCAAAGTTTGTTTACCACAAAATATGTTTTTGCATTGCATCACTTTGGCCCCTAGCTTAGCCAAAATGGCAGGTCAGCCTGCCTTAGAAGAAGGATAATCAGAAATTCTTATAATTTCCATGAAAAGAAAAAAAAATATAAAATTATTTCACAAGAGATTGGCTTGTAGATTTTATTAATAATAATAACAACAGAAAATGGGGGCAAATTCAGTGAGAATTAGTTCATAGTTATAAGCTGAGAACCATCCTGGATGGTACACAAGGTTGTCATGTTTTGTGAAGGCTCCATCATTTTGTGTGGATTTACAACATAAAAGATTTCATTGGTGGTGATACCATACAGGTAGTCCTTGATTTACAACAGTTCATTTAGTGACTGTTCAATTACAACAGCCCTGAAAAAAGTGACTTAACGATCATTTTTCACACTAAAAACCATTGCATCATGGCTGGCTCAGGAATTCTGGGAGTTGAAGTCCACGAGTCATAAAAGAGCCAAGGTTGCCTACCCCTGGCATAGATAGTCCTTGACTTATAACCATTAATTTAGCAACTGTTTGACGGTGATGCTGGTCCTTACACTTAACTATTCCAGCATTCCTGCAGTCACATGACCAGAATTTCAGCCTCTGGCGATTGGCATGGATTTGTGATATTTGGAATGTCCCGGGGTCATGTGATCACCATAACCTTGTGACCTTCCTGGCCAGATTCTGACAAGCAAGGTCAATAAGGGGAAGCCAGAGTTGTTTAACTACCATGTGCTTCAGTTAACGACCGGGGTGAGTCTCTTAACCATGGCAAAAAAGGTTGTAAAATCAGACAACTCACTTAACAACCATCTTACTTAGCATCTGGAAGTTCCAGTCCTAGTTATGGTTGTAAGTTGAGGACTACCTGTAACTATTATAACTACATCTTTACTTCCTTTAATTTGACCTTCTGCCAGTTTCTTTCAAGGTTTGAAGATCTCTCACCAGGAATTTTGTTCCTTTAAAACAGTGGTTCTCAACCTTTTTAATGCCGCGACCCCCAACTGGTCGTAAGTCGAGGACTGCTCAACCGGTCGTAAGTTGAGGACTGCTCAACTGGTGCAGCACCGTTTGCAGAATAGGACTTTTGGCGGGCTCAGCAGGGCAGAGACAGCCTGGACAATTCCTATTGGCTTTTGAAAGCCAATAGAATTAGACTCTATTCAAGAGAGTCTATTCTATTGGCTTTCAAAAGCCAATAGAATAAAAGGGAGTAGCACAGCTAAGGAAAAGGGGAAAAAATGGCGGACTGCGTTGTTTGGCGACCCCCGTGAAATGGTCGTTCGACCCCAAATGGGGTCCCGACCCACAGGTTGAGAACCACTGCTTTAAAACCTCTTATATCCTAAAATATGGCGCATCAGCAAAATAGGAAAATAAAAAGAATCTGCTTGCACAGGGAAGCAGGTTGAGTTGCGTGGACAACACAGCAATTCACTGGCTTAGCTTCTTTTCTTTTGTGTTGTTTTAATCTATAGGCAGGAATGTGTGGCCACAGAAGAGAATCCGCAAGTCTATTTCTGTTGTTGTGAAGGGAATTTCTGCAATGAAAAGTTCACTCATTTACCTGAAGCTACTGGCCCACAAGGTGAGAGTCAAGACTATAACTCTTTGAACCTAGTTCAGTAAGTTTCCGTTTTTGGTTTTTTTTTTTTTTTTACAAAATGTAGTTTTTTCCAGGTTCAGGAAAAAGGAGGCTGGAGGCTAAAAGATATGAAGAACGGTTGCAGAAATTGGGTATGTCTAGTTTAATGAAAAAGATGAGAGGTGACATGATAGCAGTATTTGAGGGGCTGCCTTAAATAAGAAGGGGCCAAGCTATTCTTCAAACCAGGACAAGAAGCAACGGATAGAAACTAATCAAGGAGAGAACTAACCTAGAACTAAGGAGAAATTTCCTGACAGAACATTTAACCAGTGGAACGACTTGCCTCCAGAAGTTGTGGGTGCTCCAACACTGGAGGTTTTCAAGAAGAGACTGGACATCCAGTAGTCTGAAATGGTATAGGGTTTCCTGCTTGAGCAGGGGGTTGGACTAGAAGACCTTCAAGGTCCCTTCCAACTCTGTTATTCTGGTTGAAATGAATATATCAACGCAATTTTCTAAAATAAAAATAAAACATTTCCTTTCCCTCTTAGAATAATAAGGTATATTCCAGCAGGCTGAATGTTTGTTGGAAGAGCTGACTTTTAAAAGTCCATCGCTGGAGTTGAAAGGTCATGGATTGAAAAGTCTATGACCACAGAAAGAATGTGCTCAACGTTTTCATGGTTCTGAACCTCCTCCTCCTGCTTTTCCTACTCCTCTTCTATGTAAAATGTGGTTTTGATTGGTTGGTTTTTATTTTAGGCCAGGGCCATCTTTAATAGTAGGTCAAGTCACACTGTTTCCTACAATTCTTTTAAGGGCATGCAGGAGGTCAGGCATTAGTGATCTAGAAGACACAAAGTAATCCGGAATGTAGTGTCCATCCAAGAACACAATGTTCTTCTTTTATAGACCAAACCGACTTGTCTGCTCTTTGTCCTGATGAGAAATAGCTGATTTAAAAATTGAATCAAAGTTCTTGAGATCATTTAAGTCATGAGCAGTGAGCTGCTGCGCTCTGTTGATTCAATATCTCAGTTCCATAAACTAGCACCCTGAGCCAGCCACAGATGGCTTGATGTAAGGGGGGTAAGAAGTTTGCCGAAATAACAAATAAATAAGAAATTTCATGGAAATCTGATGACAAATGCATAGTGATGCCGTGATGCCGAATGTGAATTAATACTTGAGCCAAATTCCGTAACACACATGTTTTGTGTGATAAGAGTGATGACCTGTGCTTCTTCATTTCAGTTTTACTGCAGATTCTTGCAGATGTTGCTGTTCAGAATCTCTTGTTCTGAAGACATGGCAAACATGTTGAACCATCTTCAAAACAACTGCCGTTTGTTAATGATGCCCACTTAAGGCACAGTGGGTGGACAGGACTGGGTGATTTTGGATCAATGGACTATTCATTCCTAGCTAAGCCACCATGCTGCTATTTTGCTTCAGTCTGTCAGCTGAATGTACTAATTATGAAAAATATTGGTCCCTAATAGGCCATTTTTCAGGAACCAAAATCAAAACATTCTGGAGCCTGATCAATGATATATGCATGCTTCTCTAAAATGTTTTGATTAAAATAACATTTTAAAAGCCACAATATAACGTTTTAGAAATTCCTGCTGTTTTAACTTAATTGAAGCTAAAGCTTGAATGCTGAGACCCCTCCCCCCCAAATTTTTCCCCTCATCTTTCTCTTTCAAATTGATTTTTCCTGGGGGGGGGGAAATGTATGGTAAGGCTCTTAAGCACTATAATTTTGGGGGAAGAATTTTGGGGGGCTCTTCATAGAAGGAGAGATAAAGACAGACTTTGTGGAGCTTATGAATGCTTCAGAAAAGTGTAGCTGTTATTAATAGGGGCAAGTACTAACATTCACATCAAATTGGCTGAAATAGTCACATTAGGATACAGGTAGTCCTCAACTTATAATGGTTCGTTTAGTGATCATTTGATATTACAGCAGTACTGAAAAAATGACTTATCCTTTTTCACACTTACGACTATTGCAGCATCCTCGTGGTCACGTGATCAAAATTCAGAGGCTTGGCAACTAACTCCTATTTATGACGGCTCTCTGATCATGTGACCTTCTGACAAGCAAAGTCAACAGGGAAGCTGGATTCATTTAACAACTGGGTTACTAGCTTAACAACTGCAGTGATTCATTTAACAATTGAGGCAAGAAAGGCTGCAATACAGGGCAAAACTTATCTAAGTGTCTCATTTAGGAACAGAGACTTTGGGCTCAATTGTGGTTGTAAGTTGAGGACTACCTGTAGCTTCTATCTTGGCTTGAAGGCGGGATGTCGGAGATTGACATTAGTGTCTGGTCTAAACAGAGTTACCGTTTTCTTTCAGTGGTTTATGAGCCACCGCCTCCCAACGCCTCGCTGCTCCATGTTGTCGTTTATTCTTTGTTTCCCATGACTGCTCTCTCCATTGCCATCTTGCTGGCTTTTTGGATGTATCGTCACCGCAAGCCTCCGTATGGGCACGTTGATGTCAGCGAGGTATGTAAGACGGTTTCTGCTGAAGTAGCAATCTGTTCAAGGAACTCAGTGTGGTCCTTCATTCCAGTGATGAAAAGTAAATTGAATTTAAATTTTGAGTGTAGAGTGGAGGGGCGCGATGGCTCAGCGGTTAAAGACGCTGAACTTGGGGAGCTGACAGCCCAGGTTCGATACTTAAGTGTCACGCAATGGGCTGAGCTCCCATTCCTTGCCCCAGCTCCTACCCATCTAGTAGTTCTGAAGCTTGTCGATGTGAGTAGATAAATAGGTACCACTTTGGTGGGATGGTAACGGCGTTCCGTGCAACTTTGGCGTATAGCCATGCTGGCCACATGATCACGGAAATTGTCTTCAGACAACGCTGGCTCCCTCAGCCGAGAAACAGAGGTGAACATCATGTCCTAGAGTTGGACACAACCAACAGTGAAAACTTTTACCTTTTTATGTAGACCACCACTGTATAGCTTGTTAAAAACAAACCCAAAACTAGGGTGAAAATGGTGACCCATGCTTGCTGGAGAAGATTCCTGACTTGCAATCCCTGGGCTTCCTATTGGTTTACTCCTCAGACCAAATTGTCTAAAAACGGCTCCACTGAGAGAAGGGAAGATATTCTATAGCAGTGATTTTCAACCTGTGGGTCGGGACCCCATTTGGGGTCGAACGACCATTTCACGAGGGTCGCCAAACAACGCAGTCTGCCATTTTCCCCCCCTTTTCCTTAGCTGTGCTACTCCCTTTTATTCTATTGGCTTTTGAAAGAGAATAGACTCTCTTGAATAGAGTCTAATTCTATTGGCTTTCAAAAGCCAATAGGAATTGTCCAGGCTGTCTCTGCCCTGCTGAGCCCGCCAAAAGTCCTATTCTGCAAACGGTGCTGCACCAGTTGAGTAGTCCTCGATTTACGACCGGTTGAGTAGTCCTCGACTTACGACCGGTTGGGGGTCGCGGCATTAAAAAGGTTGAGAACCACTGTTCTATAGACTTCCTCTCAATTTGTTTCATTACTGGTACCTGCCAGCTCCATAGCAACTCCTACAAGAAATTCCTCCATACCTTGACAATATTTCAATTTTATCTGATTCCTAGCACCCTCTATCTTTGTTTCCCAGGATCCAGGACCCCCACCTCCTTCTCCAATGGTTGGACTGAAGCCATTACAGCTTTTAGAGGTCAAAGCCAGGGGTCGCTTTGGCTGTGTCTGGAAAGCACAATTGATGAATGAGTATGTAGCAGTGAAAATCTTCCCCGTACAGGTGAGGAATGGAATTATTTTCCAGTAACACCTGGAGCAAGGTAAAAATGTTTACAGAATTCCAAGTTAGCAATTTTATCAAGAGTTCCACCTTCTAGGTCTTCGAGTAAAGTCTCTAGCAGTGTGTCTCAACCTTGACCACTTGACGTTCAGCGACTTCAACTGCCAGAATTCATTCACCGGCCATACTGGCGGAGGAATTCTGGGAATTGAAGTCTACATCGCTTAAGCATTGCCAAGATTGAGAAACACCTAGTAGGTAGAAAAATTTCAAACTTGAAAGTTTAATAGTTTCTCTCTGCTCCATCTTATACCAAACAAATCAAGGGTTATTTTCATACTTCCTCAAAGCTGAGTTACCGTTTCTCCTCCCTTAAAAGTTCGTTGCGCTTCTCACCACTTTGCACAGCCACATTTCGCTTGCTGAACAGACTGCAGCCTAGTTGCATGATAGCCAAATGGCTTGAGGGTCCGTTTTGGATTGCACGCTAAGCCATTATTTATTCTCCAAGTGTGCAGGCAGCCTCTGTTCTATGCACAAGCGAATGGCAATAGGTTCCCAGCTCTGTGAATCTGCAAACATTTTATATATTGCTGTTTTATGTTATTTATCTTGGCAGCTTCTTCAGGCATGACAGCGGGGATAAAATATTTCATATCACAAGGTGCTTTGATTCCAAAGTCTTGGAACCGTATCCTAAAGTATTTCCCCAAATTGCCACAGGATTGTAATTTTTAATGCAAGAAGAGGGAAATCATTAAATCTACGGCTTGTCATTGCCTTTAATCTCAAAAAGATTGCCCCATCCTTGCTAGAATTAAACATAAATAATGCACTTGGCAAATACTTGAGACTCCATTATGTTCAGATTGACAGGAATCATTAGAAATCTTATTCTTCTTTCCTGGGTCATCTAAGAAAACAAATTTTACAGTACTAGGTAACAGATTTTTGACAGCTTAAGCTTCTGCGAGACTTTCACCATACAAATTTAAACAATGTCAAACATGTGAGATGCTTAAACCGGGGAAGTATCTTCAGAATCATTTATTACAGGTAGTCCTCGACTTACAACAGTTCATTTAGTGACCATTCAAAATTACAACGGCACTGAAAAAGCATGACTTATGATGGTTTTTCAGTTACGACCTTTGCAGCATTCCCATTGGTCACTTAATCAAAATTCACATTTTGGGAACTGGTTCATATTTATGACGGTCGCACTGTCCTGGGGTCACGTGACCCCCTTTTGTGACCTTCTGGCAAGCCAAGTCAATGGAGAAGCCAGATTCACTTAACAACCGAATTACTAACTTAATAATGGCAGTGATTCATTTAACAACTGTGGCAAGAAAGGTCGTAAAACAGGGCAAAACACACTGGCAACAAAATGTCTCAATAACAGAAATTTTGGGCTGAATTGTGGTCATAGGTCGAGGACTACCTATATTATTTTTATTTATTACATTTATTACAGGTAGTCCTCGACTTACAGCAGTTCATTCAGTGACTGTTCAAAGTTACAATGGCACTGAAAAAAGCGACTTATGACTGCATTTCACTTAACACATAACAGCACTTAAATGTCTCACTTAATGTTCAGCTCAATTGTGTTTGTATGTCGAGCACTACCTGTAATTGCAGAAACAGAGAGGACAGCATTCTGGAAAATAAGAAAGAGGAAATGCAAAGATGGTCAAATAACAGGACTATTTTTTGATGGATGGAGACGAGAAAAGAGCACCCGGGTGGCTGTAACATCATCGATGTCTAGGGATATCATTGTTCTCTGAACAGATTCATCTGTTTCTCCACTCTTTTTAACCTTCTGCCCTCCCTCCAGGACAAGCAGTCTTGGCAAAGCGAGAGGGACATCTTCAACACTCCAGGAATGAAGCACGAAAACCTTCTGCAGTTTATTGCAGCTGAGAAGAGGGGAACCAACCTGGAGACGGAGCTTTGGCTGATCACAGCTTTCCATGATAAGGTAACAAGGGCTGACTCGGTTGAGGCTTTGTTGACGGCAGGAAGACCAAGGACGTATGCATCTCTTCGTGGGGAGCATTTAAAAGACCCTTAGCAACACAGGGGGAGCCCCTCTCCCAGCTGGGCCAAACTTCTGGCAACAGGTGCCTCTTCAGATGAGCTTCTCCTACAAATCTAAGCACAGGTAGTCCTTGAGTTACGATTGGCCACTTAATGACCGGTGGAAGTTCCAGAATACTTACTTGAGGGAAGGGCGGTGTTTACAGTCTGGATTCAAAATTCTGAGGTCACACAACCACACTTCCCGGACTAAGCAGCTGGGTTACATTAACAGCTGTTGGCAGCATCCTGCAATCATATGACTGTGTTTTATAATGTTTTTTTTTTTGTGTGTGAAAATCCAGCATTTACTTTCAGGTTTTTTGGCAAAACCTCTCATCACGAACCATTGGTTCCCTTAGGGACTGCAGTGATCCACTTCACCTCCCAAAAGGGCATAAAACAGGTCATTTCACGGTGTGTTACCTTACGATCAACATAGGCAGGCTCCATTATGGCCATAACTCGAGGACTACCTGTAAGTGGGCCGAGTCATTGTAGTTGTATTGCTGTAAGTTCAGAAACGGCCCAACAAACTGAGCATTAATTTTCAACCCCCTTGATTCCATTGGAGGATATTTAAGCTTGTGTTTAATTCTCTCCTGCAGATGAATGTCACTGGCAGAGAAGCAAGGAGAAATTTCCTGACAGTTAGAACAATTAACTAGTGGGACGACTTGCCTCCAGAAGTTGTGGGTGCTCCAATACTGGAGGTTTTTAAGAAGAGATTGGACAACCATTTGTGTGAAATGATATAGGGTTTCCTGCCTGAGCAGGGGGTTGGACTAGATGACCTCCAAGGTCCCTTCTGTTTTTCTGTTATTGTGAGCACTCCCTGTGTGTGTGTCTTCTATGCAGAGTCATACTTTTACAACTGGCCCTTGGGCTGACTTCCAGAGAAGCATGCTTAAGATTCCTGCTTTAAAACACTGGCCAGGCTCACTGTAAATGCCACACACACACACACACACACACACACATGGACCTGATTCGGGAGGATGTCAAAGAGTCATAGATATCATCTAGGTTTGTTCCCCCAGGGGTCTTTGACTGACTATCTGAAGGGGAACGTTGTCAACTGGAATGAGCTCTGCCACGTGGCAGAAACCATGGCCCGCGGTCTCTCCTATCTGCATGAGGACATCCCTTGGTGCAAGGGAGAAGGACATAAACCTGCTATAGCACACAGGTAAGTAAGTCCCATTTTTAGTCTATTGTAACACTAAATCAAAGTTTGTTTACTTCTAGATCAGGGGTCTTCAAACTTGGCCCTTTTATGACTGGTGGACTTCAACTCCCAGAATTCCTCAGCCAGGCACGCGTGCCTGGCTGAGGAATTCTGGGAGTTGAAGTCCACCAGTCATAAAAGGGCCAAGTTTGAAGACCCCTGTTCTAGATGTTCATGCTGCTCGTCATGGGAAGGAGCTCAAGGTGGTGTATTGATCCCTTCCTCTTCCAATCTAAACAGCATGTGTTCCTCATACAGCTCAGGGGAATTACAACTTCTTATGGGAACACTAACTATTCCTTGGTTTTCCTTTGAGGTAGCAGGTTAAATTGCTGGGGGCGAGCGAGGGGGGTGAACATGGACAGGGGAAGAGCAACCCAATGGGACATCCTGAACCACCTGAGAGTTTCCATGCCAGTTGCACCAGGATTATTTAACCAGTAGGCTCTTGCAGAAAAGCAGTTTCCACTAAGCTAGAAGCTGAAAACTATCATCGTCGCTTTTTTCTGCTGTGCTGCTGCCCCCTAACGGCACTTAATTTCAGATACAATAAATCCATTTCAGACGTACTCCATTCCTTCATTCCATCATTTATGTATTGGAACTATCGTTTCCTTCAGTGAAGATATTCTTCCTCTTCTTTCATCTGAACAAAAATGAATGTGAGGGAAAGGGAGGGGGAGAGCAGGGGAGGAGAGGAGAGGAGGGAAGAGAAGAGAAGAGAAAAATTGGTGGCCTTGTCCACCACTGTAAGGGCCACAAAACAGCTGCTGGGACTCAGAATCATAGAATACTCACCCTTGTCTTAAGTAAGCTTTTCACCCACCAGGTAGTCTGTATAAATAATGTCTTTCCAATCCCTCAAAGGAAAAAGGTGGTTTGTAAAACAAGGCAAGCCCAGAATATCTGCACCTCTTTTTTCATTATCCAGAAAACAGACTTCTCATCAGCGGCTTAGGAGAACACACAAAGCTACGGCTTACTGAATTCAAACGGGGTCCAAATAATGAAAGGATTTAGTTGTTGTGAATTCTGTAGCCTAATCCCCTTTCTCTTTTAATAAATCTGGACAGGGAAGCCTCTGTGAGAATCTTGGTTTTGGGTGTACTTGGCTCTCAGAAGTTTGACTAATCTGGCATAAGGTCTCTCGGATGGTTTCTCCGCCAACTTTAGCAGCTTTAACGTATAACCAGTGCCTGGGAACTATGTTTCCTCTTTTCTCTCCCTCCTTAAAAAACAAAACAAAACAAAAAACTGTGGGTCAGGAGGGGGTGAAAATGTTCCTTCGGGATACTGTATACCCTGGGAATTCATTGCATTTTCCCTCCACCCTTTTGTGAGCGTTTACTCTCCATAGGGGCATCTCTCTTTGTGACATATTCTGACAGAGCATTCCATGGGGGGGGAAAATGCAGAATCTGCCCTCATTAATGATATTGCTTGGCCTCACACTTGTCCTCTGATCCAGCCGGTCAGTTGAATTGATGGCAAGAGAATTATAATGCCAAGCACACGTGGGTCTACCATCTGCTGGCTCAAGCCTGTAATTTAATTATATTCAACCCCTTTCTTCTTCTTCTTTTTTTTTTTTTTTTGTATGTGTGTTCTCCCCCACCGCTATTGAAGGAAACTCCAGAGAAGCTTAGTAAGCACAGGGGTTTAATATAAGACAGACATGTCAAACACAAGGCCCAGGGGCCGGATGCGGCCTGCGAAGTGGTTTCATGTGGCCCACGAAGCCATCCTGGAAACAGTGAGGGAACGGCCCCCACTGCCTTGGCCCTGGCCCAGGCCAGCCGGGAGCCAATGTACAATTTTGTGGTGACCATCTAGGCTGAAACGCAATTCAGTCTTAGCTCCACAAGACTGTCTGGAAACAGCAAGGGACCGGCCCCTGCCGTGTTGGCCCCGCCCCCTGGGTGCATGCTGAGGAGATGTCACCCTTTGTGAGGAATGAAGAAATAGACCGTGCCTTGGCACTTGCCTCGATCCCACCCCCTTCTGCCAGAGACCCTCAGATCTGTCCCACTCCTGCCGAGGCCCCCACAGGCACCTTTGAGGTAAATAATGTAGAGCTGGCCATGCCCACCCAGTAGGTCACACCTACTCCATCCACACCCACCCAGTAGGCTGCACCCATCCTGGCCACACCAACCCGGCCCTCTAAGGGCAACCGCAATGCTGATGTGGCCCTCAATGAAATTGAGTTTGATCCCCCTGGTATAAGAGGTAGATAAGGAAGAAATAAAGCTGACCAGCTAGAACTCAAAATCCAAGGCAACATTCTAGATGCCAAGCATGCTTTCTAGAAAAGAGCTGGCTAAGGAATCAAGAGTATAAAAGCAGAGGGTCTTCAGACTTGGCCCTTTTATGAGTTGTGGACTTCAACTCCCAGAATTCCTCAGCCAGCGTGCCTGGCTGAGGAATTCTGGGAGTTGAAGTCCACAAGTCATAAAAGGGCCAGGTTTGAAGACCCCTGGTATAAAAGAAGGATGCCATTGCACATGATTGGTGTTAATGTTGGCCTGGCTATTATTCTTACTGATTTCCTCCCCTCTTTGGGATCTTTCTCATAAATTGGGTTTGCGTCCACTTCTTGATGTTATCGGTGGCAAAAAGTCTCATATACATGATTTTCTTTGGATGTTGATAATGCACTACATTAAATGTCCATCCCTTTTCGTTTCCTTGCAGAGATTTCAAGAGCAAGAACGTACTTCTGAAGAATGACTTAACTGCCGTGCTTGCTGACTTCGGACTGGCTGTACGCTTTGAACCCGGGAAGCCTCCAGGAGATACTCATGGACAGGTAAACCTCCAGGTTAGCTTACACTACTTCATTTCGCAAACCTAATTTGGAAGGTGGGCGAAGATAAGACAAGATAAAACAAATCTAGTGCCTGGGTTCTGAATCTTGAAAAACAAGTCACAATTGTTGTATACACATGATAGTATACAATTTATCCTTTCCCAGCACCATTGTTATTCTGAACAGTCACTGAACGAGCAGTCAGGAAGTGACAATTACCTATATTCTTTAGGACGGTGGTGGCGAACCTATGGCATGGGTGCCAGAGGCGGCACTCAGAGCCCTCTCTGTGGGCACATGCGCTGTCGCCCCAGTCCTAGGCCTTCAGCTGGGTTTTATGAAACCTTTTTGCTTTAGGCCTCCACTGCCGTGTGCAAAAAAAAAAAAAAAAGGTTCAGTCAATTTCAACTTCTCGTGGGAAAAAAAAAGATCTTGCAAAGTTGGAATTGATTGATTGAACTTTTTAGTCCCACCAAGTCTGCCGTTACACCACAGCCACGCCCACCCAATTGGCCACACCCACCCAGCACTCAACGATGCATAAGTGGGTTTTGGGTTGCAGTTTGGGCACTCAGTCTCTAAAAGGTTCGCCATCACTGCTTTAGGAAGCATCAGCAAGTCAATTGATCTTGTCAAAATGATAGACAGCTCAGTGTCTGCCAATACAAGAGAATCTTCATAGCTCATGTTTGATCTGTGGGATCCCTGGTGCTCTTTGAGCTTGGTTGTTTTCTTGCAAGCGTTTCATTGCCCAACTAGGTAATGTCATCAGTGTTACTATCCAAGGGGGTCTTGGGGGGGAAACCATAGGACGGTGCTGTAGAGAACATTGGGTAGAATGGTCTGTGCCACAGAGTATGAGATCCTTGGGAAATAAAGCCGTGGAAACAACCTCTGACTTTCCCTGCTGGCTTCCCCATTGGCTTTGCTCACGGGAAGCCAGCAGGAGAGATTGCAATCATGTGACAATTGGCTCACTATAATGTCATAATTGCGAGCTAGACACCCGAGCACCAAGATCGTGAACCCATGATTGTGAGGACTCTGTGACAGCTGCAACTTCACAGACCAGTTGTAAGTACCCTCATTCGGCACCATATTAATTTTGAATGGTCATCGAACAATGGTCAAGGATTATCTGTAACCAATGTAATATCAACAACTATTGCTATTATTTCTGCTTTTTCCTCTCCTCCTTTTTATTGTTCTCTTTCACTCTCTCTCTCTCTCTCTCTCTCTCTCTCTTTTTAAAGAACCAGAGTTTGAAAGTATGGGAATCTCCTCTTCAGGTATAGTTCCAGTAACTGATTCCTGTGTCTATTATAGGTGGGAACTAGAAGATACATGGCTCCTGAGGTCCTGGAGGGAGCAATTAATTTCCAGAGAGATTCCTTCCTGAGAATTGATATGTATGCCATGGGTCTGGTATTGTGGGAGTTGGTTTCCAGAAGCACAGCAACTGACGGCAAGTTCCAATGTCCTTTTTCCATACTGTTCTCGCTTCCTCAGAAATTATGGATACTGTATGTCCAACCCATTTGGTGTTAGATTATGGAGATTTAGTTCAGAAAGATGTTGACTTGTAGCATATCAACACAATATACCGTATATGCCGGCGTATTAGGCGACCCGGCGTATAAGACGGCCCCCGTCTTTATAGCTGGGCCGCATTCCTAGAACGTCGTCTTATATGCCGGAAACTACCAGTATTTCCGGCGTATAAGACGACTCGGCGTATAAGACGACCCCCGTCTTTGGCGCCGATTTCAGCGTTCGCGGAAGTCGTCTTATACGCCGGCATTTACGGTATTTCTTAGCTTTAAAAAACAAAAAAAAAAATAAATGGAAAAAAAAAAACCCAGCTCAGGACAAAAATCCCTGTCCTCTGCAAATCTATCTCTTGTTCAAAAAGAACTAATAAGAATGCAGTAAGTAGTTCTTTAAGTAGCTGCCCAGAATTGGTTAGAAGATGGGCAGCTATGTAAATATTTTAATTAAATAAATAAACGTTACAGCTATCACTTGAGGAGGAAGCAAGGGGGATAAACAGGAAGGGAGGGAATCAGACCAAGAATCTGTTTTTATTGGCCCTACAGCGTTGCAAACTGAGTAGAGGACTAAACAATGCTGATTTCCAACACTAACTTCAAATAAATGATTCCATTTAAATAAGGAAATAAGTAATTAGTACATACACCTGTGAAGGTTACAGTTTAATACAGTTGTGGGAGGGGTACCAATTAGTCGGAGCTGCCTGTTGGTTCCAGTGATCTGTATTTGATAGCAATGTCTTCTCTTTTGCAAAAACAGGTCCAGTGGATGAGTACTTACTGCCTTTTGAAGAAGAAATCGGCCAGCACCCATCTCTTGAGGAGCTGCAGGAGATTGTGGTCCATAAGAAGATGCGCCCGGTGTTCAAGGACCATTGGCTTAAACACCCTGTAGGTCCTTCCTTGATGCTTACATTTTCCCCCCAAAATGTCCATGTGATTTAGTAGAAGGCAGTCCTCAACTTATGGCCACAATTGACCCCCCCTCCAGATTTCCAATGCTAAGAAAGACAGTTGTTCAGTGAGTTTTGCCCCGTTTTACAACCTTTCTCGCTACAGCTGTTAAGTGAATCACTGCAGTTGTTAGTAATGTGGTTGTTAAGTGAACCTGGCTTCCCCATCGACTTTGCTTGTCAGAAAGTCACAAAAGTTGATCACATGACCCCGGCAATGCTGTGACCGTCATAAATATGAATCAGTTGCCAGCATCCAAATTTTGAAAATCTGAACTTCTGACTGTCTTCCTCCCTATGGGCATGTGATTGTACTCTGGGCACTCAGCAACATGGTCACAATTGCAGCCATTTGCAGTGTCCCAAAACTTTTATGAGTTTTGCCAAAAAAAAAAAAAAAAAAAAACCCTGGCACTTAGGCGTTTTTTGGGGGGGGGGGCAAAACCGGACAATGGCCAACAATGTCTTTACTCAACAAGTAAGACATTTGCTTAGCAATCACAGCATTTGCCCTTATGTCTACCACATTTGTTTAACAAACACCACAAAAGAGATAGTAAAATCCAACCAGTCACATGACTTGACTCATTTTGTTACGCTGTTACGACTTAACAACTGTAATGAGGAAGCTGCATTGCGGCCGTACCACCAGTGCGACCTGTATATCTGGCCTCCTCAAGCTACATCGATCCACTTTGTCTTGCTAAATTCTTCTTTCCTTGGTCTTTCGGCACCCAGGGCATAGCCCAGCTGTGTGTTACCATTGAAGAATGCTGGGATCATGATGCGGAGGCCAGACTGTCAGCCGGTTGTGTGGAAGAGCGCGTTGCCCAGATTCGCAAATCAGCCAATGGTAGTACCCTCGACTGCCTTGTTTCCATCGTGACCTCTGTCACCAACGTAGATTTGCTGCCCAAAGAGTCAAGTATCTAAATCCTTGTTTGCCTTTTTTTCCCCCCCACTGGTCTCTTCAGACGCAGTGGATTTTTTTTTTCAAAAAAAAAAATTGCAGAATTCAACACACACACGCATACATATACATGAATGCAGCTGCTATTTTCTTGACTTTTCTTGCTATTGTTATTATTTGTTGTTGTGTTGTTGTTGTTGTTTTGACTGAATCAATTTACCAGCATATTGCTCTACTGTATTGAAAGAGAAAAAAAAAATTAAGAGAAAGACATCTCTCTGAAAGCATCCAGGTGCCGACTAATGAATGCAGTTACAGTGCAGGTACCTCAAAACCTCAGTGAACTCTCTTTGTTTCCTTTATTAACCTATTTTCTCTTCTAACTAACCTGCAATTTTTACACCAAATATCAGTGATAACAAGAAAACAACCTACTCATCTTCTTATACATGCTGCAAAATCAAGACTGTTCCATGAGATCATACCTCTCAAAAAAACGGATTCCCCGCCCCCCTCTACTATTTTTCCTTTTCTTGCTTTTCTATTTTAGACAGTGAGCTTAAAAAAGAAAAAAGCAGATGTGTCTTTTACGGGTCTAACGGGTGTTGCCGTGTTTGTGGGGGGGGGGAGTGATTGCGTCGAGAATATTAATTGATAATGGTAGAACCGAAGACAAGAAGTTGAAGGCTGGGTGGGGAAGAGACGGTGGACTATTGCAGCATTTGGAGAAACAGTGGCTAAAGAGTTACTTCTCAGGAAAACAGTTAATGAGAGGATGGGCAAGTTTTGAGGCAGACTATTAAAACTCCTGCAACATGCAGAAAAAGTTGGGTCACAAAATCACTGATACAAATGGTTTCTTAAAAATCTCAGGCTTGAGAAATGTTAAGTGAAATCAACCCTTTCTATTACATTTATAAGTTCAGAGAATGAGGTCTTAGGATTCAACAACAGGACAGCGTTACAGCCCTAAGCAATTTTTCTGCCATTGTAATACCAAAAAAAATAAAAATAAAATACAGAAGACAACAAGCGTCTGACCTGGAGCTTTAAAAAAAAAAAAAGCCCAGTGTATCCAGTTATGTATTGGCATTCGGTATTCGATGTCATTCATGATGTGAAACAGCCTTTCTTTGAAGACTCATTGAAATCAGAAAAACTTACTTCCAAGTAAATGTAGCCAGGACTAATAAATTTCAATTTCACTCTTAGATCTTAACATCTGCAGGGCAAATGTCAAGGCTGTTTAGCTGCTATGACTTGTCAAGAATTTTAAAGGGAGATAATGATTCCCCATTAAGGACACATAGAAACGCCATCCCCAATTGTCCCTGAGACTTCATGGGAATGTATGTGTGCATATTGAAAAAAAAAAAATCAAGATGGCAGCTGTGATCATGGCCATCTTAACTTTTTTGACACCTTCTCTGTCCATGTCTCCATAGTCCTTTGGCAAAAGTACTAGCGGTTGAATACAGTTGAATACAGTTGTCTATCTTTCTTTGATTTATGATAAGGGATAGGTATAGTTTAGGCCAATGTTTCTCAAACTTGGCAACTCACATCTTTTTAAGAGTTCTGTTTCTAAGTATACTTTTACACTTTATACACAAATTCCTTTGCTTTCAACATAGTTCATAGCTAGTTGAAATTGATGGGTTTGATTTTTCTTGATTCTTCATTCTCTGAAGACTGTCACCCAACTTTTTCGTCTTAACAGTGGTGCATATTTTCAATATACTTAATTCTACTACGCCATATAAAATCCGCTCTAGTCAGTGAATACTCCTAATGCTGCCAATATAACATTTAAATATTTTTTTAACTTGCAAGACATGCAATGATTTATAAAAGAAATAAACTTAGAATACACATACACATGAAGTGGCTTTTGAGGTTCTAAACTAAAAAAAAAAAAAACCTTCATGACCACAGACCACCTCAAACCAGAAATACCTCAAAATTTTCTACTTGTATGAGTTTTATTATATATTTTGTTAGTTGTGTTATCTTGGAGTATGTAAATTTTAATGTAAGTTGGCTTTTATGAAAAGGGAGTTTTAAAAAAAGAAGAAAAAAGAAAAAAATTCCCCAATCTTTTAGAAAATGCTACCACTTCTTTTCTTTTTTCTTTCTATAAAGCACCATTGTAAATAAGTGTAAACAATTATAGAGGAATTGGCTATACAAGATTCCTGGACATATTCACCATTACTTGTGAAGGCTTGTTTCCATTTTTAAAAATTTTGGTGGGAATAGTAGGAGCACAAGTTGTTTTAATAAAGAATTATTAGTACAGCATTTCCTTTATGAAATATTTCCTCCGGGAGATGCTAGTCCATGAATGAAAATTATTTTCTTTAGATTTGTTATTCAGCTATTGGTTGACTGATACCCAGTTAACACAATACAAATGATCATTCAGTAAAAACACAAAGGTTGCAATGCAATTCCTTTTCCCCAAGGCATTTTAATTAACTGTAGAAGAATCTCAGAGAAGCTTTTCTAACAAATAAAGAACAGCAAAAAGGAAACTAATCTTGCCAAATGGGCATGTGGAAGCAGAGGTGCCCAAAATAAACTGCCTTTTTGGTTTTGTAAGACAAGAGGAGAGAGTTGCTTTTGACTGCTTGTGAATGTGCAAAAAATAAATAAATATATATAGTAGTTTCACTCTGCATGCTTCTGTAACTATTTCAAGGGAGGGAAGAACTGAAATTCGAGATTTTATCCTTTTCTTGAGAAACAGCTGCTTCCCTAATAAGGAAGCAGAAATATTGATGCTTCTTCTCTTTGCTCAGTGCTTGAATATCTAAACTATTTAAGGTAACCATGAGCAACCCTGGACTTAACTGAAATACGTTAGGTTTGCTTTTGCATAAGTTAAAATTAATTGAGGAAGATGAGCTAATTTATTACTTCAAAAATGCAGACACCTTTCCTGTACTTCGGGAGTGGGTTTCTGTTAGGGAACAAGTGGTGGCATGTATGCCCTAATGTACATATTTGTCTCAGGTGTCCTGCAACCTGTACATAATGGCAGCATTTGCAGAATTACATCACTATGCAGATGTCATTTTGGTGTCATTGCAGCTTCTGCAGGCGCCATGAACGTCTTGGGGATTTATTCAACATTTGTCAGTGACTAGTATCTTAAAGACCAATTTTGCATACGATTGACTAAACAGGATGATAGTTTCATTGGTCATGGATTGTACATTTTTTTCCAGAATAGACTTTCATCACTCTTCGCTCTGTTTTATATCAAGATTAAGTATCTGATTGATTCAGCACTGACTCTATTTAAAAAAAATCTTAAGAGTCAGCGATTTAATGCATTGAGAATATACAAGATGGGTGGAAAGCGGTTGGCGCATTTGCTCTGCAAAGCCTCAACCCACTGTGCAGAACCCAAACTAAGACAATTTGTGACCCACCATGTACTGTGACTTGCCAAGTTATTAGCAACTCCTTTGATTTTTACAGTCTCAATGTAAGTGATTTTTTGAGCAGAGACTATAATTTTACACAGGGGAGTAGCAGGCTGTATTCGGAAGGCCACCAATTATGAGGCCTCAACAAAGTTTTAATTTATGTCTTTTTGAATGATCATATTGCCCTTAAAAACAGAGGCTTCAGAAAAAACAAAGTGAAGGAAAATAGATCCATTAGGATGAAATAAACCTTGACATCTATATGTCACTAACAGTCAAGGTGTGTGGTTAGCAGTGAGAAAGATTCACTGTTATTATTGCTGTGTTGCTTCAAGTATGCTTTTTCCTGTTTTGCAGCATTATTCCTATAATGGTTAAAATAAGCTTGGTACAGCAGTTGCTTTGCTTTTCCAAGAAACAAAGTTTCGAGAAGCTTTAAGTATTGATAGAAAGTGCCATATAGAGGTTGTTTTTGTGTTTTGTTCATTAGGAGTGTTCTTAGTCGTTCCTGCATAAAGAGAGAAGCATATCTGTGTTATATTCATCCCCATCATACGGGTTGAGTCAAACCTAATTTTACGCCAGATTGATTTCTTCTTACTTACATTTCCTTGCTACAGATCATTGCCAGTTGCTTTGGTTAGCTGTGATTCAAATGTGAACATATACATATTTCTTAGCTAATATATGTTGTCCATATCTTTTTTTTGTTAGCTTCTTGGATTCTCAGCCTTCCCATATGTGGTACCCATCTCCTAGAATTCCCACACTGCATGGCCAAAACTGCTGTTGGCTCAAAATTCTTCAATCCAGACCCATCTGGCAGACTCCAGGTGGAAAAAGGTTAGCCTATAGCATCTCTGGTGTCTGACAGTCACATTTACCTATTAATGATGCAGTTTTCCTGTTGTGTAATTGCATTTTTTCCTAAACAGCGCATCTCTTTAATCTTCCTGGCCTTCAGTTGGTCTCATATATTTAATGTTAAGAAGGTTCTTGATATAGCAATAAGGGAACTCAATCACAAGTATAGCTATGCACGAGAGGAAAAAAAATATTTTCAAATAAGATTTGGTCTACATAGAACTATGCCAATTACCGTAAGTAGTGGTGGTTTGAATATATTTCATTTGCTGAAATAGGGACCATTTTTTTAAAAAAAAACAAGGCTGTCCTTTACATAACAAGTGAGATTTTCTCTCGAGTAAAGGGGGGGGGGATTTATAGAGTTACAGCTCAAAGCTTACTTCATTTTATACTGTATTCACTCATCACATTAAGCCACAATGGAATTGGAGAAATATGTTTAGTGTGCGAATCATGAAATTGTCCAATCCATGTCCAATTTTTTTTAAAAAAAGTTTACTGCAATTAAGATGTTTGTTCAGCCTGTCCACATAGCTATTTTTATTCTTTCTTTGGTACAGGGCAACTTAAAATAAAATCAATAGGCAAATAAAGAATCTATGCCACTTTTTCATCCTAGTAAAGAGACACTGCCAAGTTTGAATTCTTATCTAAAAGCAAAAAAAAATTTTTTTTTAAAGAAATAAAGCACATTATATTTAGAGCCCTTAGTGTTATGCAACATTTTCATGATTATCCAAGACATACAGGGTTTCCTCATTTTTCAGTACAAGTGATTCTGTTTCACAATGTTAGCAATAGTGATAGGATAAAAACATTTGAAACTTGATTTTGACATTGATTAGTAATGGAAAAGCTAATTATGTTTACCACTGCCCCGGTTCAGATACAGTGATATATCAAGATTAGCAACAAAATGTGAGAAGTGGAGAAAATCATATAAGTGTGAGTTTTAATTTGGTTCTCCCAAATTCTTAATCATGATAATGTTTGGAAAATGTTCTGCCAATTGAATTAAGTCAGGATTTGCTAAGGCAATATGCATGAGATAGAATTCCCTGTAGATGTGTTTTGGCTTTTTATATCTCAAGGTAGCGATTTATTTTTATAGATATCTGAATTTTTGATTCAGGGATACATTCCTACATTAAACATATTTTTAAATATATGCTGAGAATTCCAGAATGATCAGCCACATAATAATTGTTTTGAGAGCCCATAGCCACTTGGTAACAGTTTTCCTACATTAAAATCTAATAACCTATGTAGGAATCCACGTTCTGTAAGAGAAATCACTTGGGCCTTTCTTATGCTATATTTGGCTGGCTTGGTAGGAGACAGGGAAAGATATGCCATTGCTGTCTTCTAGCACTGTGGGGTATAAACCTCATATTGTGGTGCCATTTTATCTATCAGTAATGTACGCTGATGTGAGCTATATGAAGTAGAAATCTTAGGCAGTTCAGCAAAAAGCTTAAATCAATTTAATGGTTTAAAACATATATGTACTAGTGTGAATGTGTTCTCCTTAATCTTTTCAGTAGCTTCTATTTTATGCATTTCTACTTTTTCTAGAGATGAATCTATTGCCAGACAATGGCACAAAATATAGGTCCACCACTTAATAGTTGTTTCAGTGTTCATTAATTAATAAGAGGTTTTCAGTGAATTTTCTAAAATCTGTAAGGTCTATGTGCTCTTTCTGAATATTTTTAGAGATCTGAGACTTGAGTTTAGTGTCCCTTAGTCCTAAACACAGCTGGCTATTTAAGTGGACAGATTGACAAGGGAGTTACCATTTCAGGGCGGATAGTTATGAATTCTAATGCTTTTTTATTTGTGCCTTCATTTATTTTAATGCAAAGCAACTGCTGTAAACTCTTAAACTTTTTTTTTCAGTGAGGGTTAAGACAAAGTGAGGCTTAGAAGCTAGAAGCTCCTTTTTATAACTTTCTTATTTCTGGGTTTGATTTTTCATCCAATCTATTTGAGGATCTATCATCCTCAAATTTCACATTAATTCAATATTTCTTTCTGGATACTTTTTAACAATGTAGCAGCATTTGCAAACAGGAAATCATTCTATAAAATGAAGAAATTTGAGGGAGAGGGGAATCGAACTGTTCCTCAAGGAGTAAACATGGAAAAATAAGCTGGTGGTTATTTCCCACAAATATTTATCTAACAGGCTGTTTTGTCAAATACACAATTTTCTTGGATTTATGTAGTGGCAAGAAAAAAATGCTTCTTTTCTATAGTATTTGGATTTTTACTGTTTCAGTTTTGTATTAGGTTAAATTTCCTGATTATCTTGACAACTTTTGCTTTCTGCTTCTAATAGCAAACAGGTACCGAAGGATATCACGAGAGGATAATTGTTTGGGGAAGGGATGTAACAGACTGAGCACATGATTTATTTACTGAGCCCTTTAGAAAAGACTGGTTCCCATTACTTTGTTACAGCAAAATAGAACATTACCATTTTCTCTGGAATAAAATTCTGTAGCATTAATTTCACTAATCTTGACTTGGTAGGGAACTGCACTTTTTAAAAAATCTATTTATATATTCCCATAACTTTCATCGCTGGTCATCAATATATTAAAATCTTCTCATCAAAATTCCAGGTTTGGTGGTACAACATAAATTAAT